AAACAAAGAGTATTATGGTATTTTTTAAAAAGGCCTTTTTAAGCCGATACCACACCAGCCATCGGTTTCCTTCTTAATCTAAATCATTACAGTCTTAACATTAATTTTGTTGTTTCCAGGTTAACTCATTTTCTTTTTTCATGACTGACACACTCACCTTAGCAAGGCAAAAACATGCTTGGAGCCTTACTCTGAAGAAACACTCGTTTTGGTTGATGATATCTATTAGAGCCTGTCTGGTTGCCTGAGTGGGAAATTTCTCTAGTGCAGCAATAGCCTATGATTTTAAGAAACAAGTTCCTTAGTTTGCTTAGTTTAGCAATCAGGGGCGTAGCCAAGCCTTTTTTTTTTCGTTTACGCCCAGGAAGTCACAGAATTGCTCTGCTGGGAAAATACCCACTCGCTCTGTTATCTGATAAGCCCTAACAATGAACCTCATTCAACCACACAATCATGTCATTTATCCTGTCTCCGGCCAGAGTTCGTTGCTATTATAAATGTTCTTTTGATCACATATAAAAAAAACTAACAGCACTGCCCTAATGAGGACTGTTAACAACAGCTATAATAATTAAAATACAATCCGGACATCTAAAGAAAAAAATAAATATTTAGTGCATCGATAAAAGGCTTCATAAAATAGTCGTGTTTAAATGATTCAAAACAACAACTTTCCTGATATCAACTTTTTTGCCAAAGTCTGATGGGAATAATAACTTTCAAAATTTATCGTTGACTCGACCCTGTACAAGTGCACATTTTTTATAGAACATTTTCCGAAATAGAATGCCATAATCAACACTAGGAGGTCTAGGAAGAAAATCTACGCGTCGGTGTCAATTATCTACTATCGGTCCCTAAAATGCAAGTCTTAAATAAATAAATAAATAAAGCTGTAATGGCTGTCAAAATCACTGGTAAACCCAGTAGTTTACATTGTGGGCCCACATAAGTCTTCTTGCAGCTTCTTGGCTTTTTTCAGTGACAAACGTCGATTACTCTTTCGCAGTCAATGGGTATCTCTCTATACTGTACGCGAACAAGAGGAGTCTAAGAGGGCTGAGGATGATAGAACCGTGGATCGCATGTACGTTTTTATCCGCCAAGAGCCGAGACTATTAACAATGGTTCAGTAAATTCTTGTACCTCACACTGTGCAATAACATCTCTTTCGTGTCTAAGTTGGTACTGCCACATGTAGTCAGGCTGTTCAAAGGTTACATGTCGAAGCCATGTCACCTCAGGATCAATACGAACCCACAAGACTGGCGAATCAGAGCTGTGGCAACATCAAAATATAATCGATTAGTGTTTTAAAGTTAATCCACAAATCTTTGATCAATTAGTTGGCCTTTTCCCCGCGTACGCAAAGTCAGTTTATAGTCTACCGTTCGTAATGTCCCTTATACACTATCTTTCATGTTCCAATATATTAACGTGTTCACAGGTCACTTGTGACGTGCTATTGTGGAACATTCATATTGTTTGAAATATAAAAATCAATATTTCTATAAAAGGATTAAAAAACAAAACATCTGAGCTATTTTCCAATTATAAACCTGTATTAAATAAGTTCTGATTACTAGTTTCCCGCGCTTTTCAACGCACTCACTACACCACCGAGTTCTGATTGGTTGGTCCGTTTTCTAGTATCTGCTGTGATTGGCTGAAATAACTACGTTTTTTTTTTAATAAGGCGAATGTAGTTGGTACTTACTCCATTGCATCAAGGTTAATATCCACTTCTTCTCCCGTCATTAGAGGAATCTTCTTTTTCTTATTCCTTTTAAAATTTGAGAACCAAACATCATTTGATTTATGCCACCATTTATTGAAAAAAATGACACATTGTCGCATAGGAGGCCCAATCGATCACTTTATACTCAATCAGCTACACGATCACAAAAATAGCATCATTAGCAGATTAAGACTGAGCAAGATAATAACTAAGAGTAAGGTGAATAGACTCTTTTCGATATTTTAAAATTGATACTTGGCTGCGAGGCTTGAAGGAATAAAACAAAAGAAATGTATGATTCATTATTAAGCTTAAAGATGGTTTCTTTTGTTTCATTCCCCCAAGCCTCGCAGCCAAGTATCAGTTTTAATATGTCGAAAATATAGTCTATTCACATGCAACATGCGCGTGTAGCCGTCGCAATAAAACAATTGCATGTGATAACGTCAAAATGCAACGGTTACACGCGAATGCTGCAGGTGAATCCACCCTTAGATTACAGGGGCACCCAACGACTGTTTTCTGTAAAATATCGGTTCGGAGAAGCACATATTGCCTAGAATTTTCTTTTACTTGAGGAAGGCAAAAAATTTCTAGATGACCGTTCCATTCACGTACAATTTTCGAAGCTTGTCTTATAATATTCCCTACGCTTTTCTTAAGTTTAATTTTCACATTTTTCTTCCCAACTTAGGCTATTTTTCGTAGAAAAAAGGGAACCTGAAATTTTCGGATTAAAAAGTGTGGTGGTGTTAAGAATCAGAAAATGTCTCACTTCCGTAATACGTCAAATTTCATCTAAAATTTTCGGAGAAATAACACTCAAACCCTTGTAATTTCGAAAATACTCAAGGTCCCCTAGGATGACCGAAAAGATACAAATTTTATAGCGCCGCTTAGAATGCATTTCTAGATACCTAAAAGTACTCTGGATAGCCTAAAAAAGGGTTTTCAATGTATTAGGAGGAAAACATCGTTGGGTGCCCCTGAGATTAATATTCATCAAGTATGAAACTACATTATATTAATATCTAACCTGCGACTCTTGGAATGACAGGGCAGCTCATGGCGGCTGTAGACATCTTCAATCTGCACGGTGTGATTAAACGATCCATCCAGCTCCTGTACACAGACTGTTAGGGGACCCTGAAAGCAGATTAAGTAAAACAATATGCAGTAAGCACTCAGTGTAAGTAAACATGCAGTTAGCCATCCACGTAGGCATAATCAGTGAGACCTACTTCTTTCGAAAACAAGTAATACCACGATATGGAAGATGTAATACACTAAGGAAAAGTACATTTCAAAATAGTCTCTAAAGATAAAGGTAAAAAATGATAGCGAGTCATTATTTTACGTTGATAGCTCAGAATAGTCAACTGACTAACAAACCTAAGACAGACGGTGCGCTCATTTTCATGTCATTTTAACTAGAAGTGAACACTGTGAAGTTCCTCCGCGGGGATTGTATTTAATGGCCGTTGTTTGTGTCACGGATTGTCGCCATCACCGTCTCTATCACACAGATGATCACACTCGTTCAGGTCTGTTTTCATCTCTGTTGTATTTTGAGGATATTTTTAATAAATGTTCACAGTTCATTGTTGTTCAGGCAACTTTATTCTATAAAAAACACAGTTTTATTCAGTTCAAGCTTACAATTTCGGGAAACGATCCCCTTTCTCTCACGTGCGAAGTTTGTAGAAAACCGGTCCACTGGAGTACAAATACAGTGAGATATTTGTACTCGTTTTGGGCGTTATTTGTACTCTACTGAATGAAGTTGAATGATAAAGTATTTTACCAACCAAGCTTGGGTAGCCTGTGCTCTTACCACATATTTAGCTGTCCCACGAGACATATCCTGCTTTATTTCAAGCTCAACAATGTTACGCTTTCTGTTGAAAACAAAACTCCCATGGAATTTGGCCACACCACTGTGACAACTACGACAAGGTTAAGGAACAATAGTCTTTTATTTTTTCGAATTAACGGCATTACTAAACCTGTTACTGAATGTTACATAAAAATTGTTGTCATCAGTAGTCACATTGGCAACCTTCTACACGTAGCCAAACTAAGTCAGTGTATTATCATAATCACTCTTCGCTACTCTACGTAAAAGGATACATCCACTGATCAACAAACACATTGATATCCTTGCCGGAAACCGTGGAAATGGATTTCAAAAACTGTTAACAAAACAAAAGAGCATTATCAAGTAGATAAGACAATGGAAATTTAAGAAATGAGCTTTAAAAAGCTAACAGTAGTATTTCAAAAACGCAATGTCTTACCCCACTCGTCGAGAGAAGTAAGTTGGTCCAGAGACTGAAGTCTGCTTTAGGCTGTGCTGCACTGTTTGCAAGTGACAACAGCTTATTAAATACCTGCAAGGGAATTTAAAGAACGATAATGGCGAGGTTAAACTTCCTAATCTCACGATTTTAAAATGACGTGAACACGAGAAAAAGATTTGGTTTTTCTTTTTTCTGAACTTAGATAGTCTTTTAGAATTCAACTCCAGAAAAATTCGCTAACACTTGACATATTCAACGAGATGGAATAAGAGTGAAGAAGTTTGAAGCAGCATGAATTCACTGTTTTTCTGTGACGTTTTCGCTGCCGTCGCTACTGCAGTTGCTTAATTAAGCTCGCTAGTAGCCTTAAGATAGTCCTTGGCAAGTACAACACTCTCAACGAAGGACAAGTGGCTGTGAATTTACCAACTGTTTACAGTAATTTTTTCATATCATGATTTCCTAATCCCCTAAAATTCGGCCAAGAAACCTCACATACCTGTAGTAAAGGTTCCTGTCCAATGCGCATTTCAATCATTCGCATAACAAGGTGTGATTTACTCCACACTATCTCTAGGTTCCTTCCTGAGGTCAAATGAGGATGCAAATTAGGGCTCGCTTGAGACGGAGACTCTGGTGCCTGGCTTGAAGAGGAGCCAGTTGCCATGGACAACAAGCCAGAGTTGTAGAGCGGTGGGATGCCGGGACCTTGCATTTCATACTGGCAAACTTGTTTGGACTCCTAAAGATGGCAAAATTGAGTTATTGATGAACCAATACAGATAGAGAGGAGAAGTCGTTCCGTCAAGTTGTCATGGTAGCAAAATTTCTGGATGAAAACAAAGCGAAAACGTCACGTAAAAAGAGAATTCGCACTGTTTCAAACGTCACCGATCTTATTCAATTTCATTTAATTTGTAAAATCTTGGCGAAATTGTTGAAGTTGAATCCGAATGGATCGTATCTAAGTTAAGGAAAAGAAAAAGAAAATTCTTGTGCTGTGTTCACCAACTCCATAAAGCGGGCGCGTGAATTAGGAAGTTTCATGTCGCAGACTTCTAACGACGGCCAAGAAATGTACAAAAAAGTGTGATGCACCTACACAGTTGTTGTCTTGCTAATATAAACCGATACCTTTTTCGCCGTTCTCGTTGCCCTCGCCGTCGTTGTTGCTTAAGCTCCCCATTATTGTGATCCAGAAATTTTTGCTACCATGGTAACGAGACGTCACACTTCTCCTCTTTATTCGAGGTCAATAAAAACGCAAAAGAGAACGAGTTCAAAATCCAGCCTTCTTGACCGAACAAACATGGTCAATAAGGGATTTGTTGTATTGCTAAAAAGAATACGTTCTCTCGCGGGACCAACGAGCGAAAATTTGATGGGTCTATCTTGCCCGCTCGGGTAGCCAATGAGAGCACAGGATTCTCTTTCCCGCTCGCGTATTGAGCTATACAATTACCGTAACGAAGTTATTACCTTAACCAAATGTTTCGACTTGTGACTACCACCAGGGGTAATCACTAACAGAATTCATTTTTCATGAGCAACATGTAATGCATAATTGTTTCATAAAAGAATTTTACTGAAACCGCAAATCGACAATGGGTTTTTAACAAGCCAATCATAACACGTACTCAAATCCTGGTACAAAGGTGGGGCCCCGAACACGGATTTGGGCGCTGGCTCATAGACAGACTTATCCAGAGGTTTAGTTTCGTCTGTGACACAGGCTATTGTAGTTGATAAACCAAATTTTTGAAGAAGAAAACAGAAAAAGCTTAGGCAAAGACGAGTTTGAGCGATGCATGTTGACCCAAAGTAAAGCTTTTCCCTTTTTCCTCGGTGCTACCAAATTTGTTTTGCTACGTATCTTTTCGACTTACCAAAAAATTTGGTTTAAACAACTATGCGCAAGCATGAAAACAGTCCACTTCAAGCTCACGTGTGTTGCTCAAAAACGTCTTTGCTTAAGTTCCCTATTACAGCGTCTGTCTTAGTCATTTAAAGGTCTCGGGTGACCGTCTGTCACGTAACCATTCCAAAGCACCATATACAGATCGTAAATAAAGGCCTCCATTCCTGTTCAATGTTGAATGTTGGGCGTACACTGCAGTAGTTTCTTGCTTAGCAGCAGCCCCTTAACCCAACGTTTGTACTTACGGCCCTCTGATTTGATTCTCAAAGTCCGTACAATGTTCATAAACTGCTGAAGTGGACTGTCACATGTTCTTGCATAAAAAGTGTTTTTGTCACTTAAGTCACAGTGAGCTTCATCTTAATGAGTACTGACCTCTATCATCCAGTTCCTGTACTCATTGTTACCGAGCATCTTTTTCATGAATAAACCAAACATGTATCCTGATATTCCTCTTGCTAACCAGTAATCTGACCTGTTTACAAAAGTAATATCGACAGTCCTAATAACAGATCACTTCACAGAAACACCACAACAATGAGCTATTCCACTACACAAGAAAATCTGTTGCCATTGCCTGCTGTCAAAGAGAGCTGATATAATTCTAAGAAGTTTTGAAAGACCTTGACAATTGTCTTGTAACCTAAACAACCACTTTCAGCACTGTAGAATGGAGTTTTTAACCCTAGCTGACCAATTACAGGCTGTCACTAAGGACAATGGGCCAGGAATTTCCCCCACCAAATATGAGATGCGTATGACCCCCACTTATAGCCTCAAAGGAAACCAAAGGAAAATACAACCAAAAGAACATCCTAGCTGTTTAATTGCCTGCCTACTAATGGCCCTTATATATGACTACATGTATGTCAGACAAGCAATTATTTAATCCACACCTGGCAAAACGAATAAAGAACAAAACTTTAGCATTCGATCACTACATTATCTGTAAGTAACAAGATACCATGTCTGTAAACAGAGGTAACATCCAAAAAACTGCTCTGCTAATGCTTGGGATAAATATTTCCTGGTCTCAAATCCCTGGTCAATGATCCTTGAAGAGTGAAGTAGGCTTGTACTGGAATAAAATAAAAATTACAACCATGCACTCATCAAAAAAACCACATATAGAGACAGTAAGTTAAAATGGTGAACATTGAACTGCAAACATCAAATAGGAAAAATTCATTGTAGAGCATCATATGCAAGTAGACAATTCACAACTAAAAAATAAAAAACAAAAGAAAAAGAACAAAGAAAAAGAAACATAACCTCTATACTAACTTCAGACTTACTTAAAAATTGTCATGGATGCATATGGTGACAGGACATCATAAGCTTGGTCAACAAATACTTGCTTGTAGTAGGTATATGGATAGCGGCAGCTGAGGTATTCTTCGTAAAACTCAAATGCCTCATGAAGAAACGCAGTAGTATTCTTTAGAACTGGAAGAAGTCCAGGCAGACAGAAGTGCGTTACTTCTGGCATCACAGGGTCTACGTGAATCTCAAATGGTCTGTATAAGAGGAATAAATGTCAACCACATTACACATTACAATTATTACTTAGTAAATTACAAGTAATGAACTTAACAAGAAGGCAAGATTGTTAGTTTGGCATTGGCTTTCAGCAGTATGTTCTTCTAAGATGGAAACAATTGTATTTGACATACATGTACAGTGTAATTATCATTCTAAAGGCAATTTTTTACAAATATTACATTTCTATTTTAGTTTTGATTCTCAAATCAAAATACACATAGACTTTGAATCAAATTTTCTTGCCTGTTCTGTGGTTATAATTTAATTTAAACCTTCAATTCTACCCAAACTTTGTGCGAGCACTGACAATGAAAAACTTGCCAGTATTTAATTATTAGGGGGACGTTTTACGGCTGTGTAATTCATTTTGTCAATATTTTAATTTACCTGTTCATATGTGGTACAGAACTCAATGTTAGCAAAGAAACAACTTGTAAATGACAACATTACAACTTCTTGTCCAACAAATATGCCTCATAAGCATAATATCAACAAAAATGAACTTTGAAAAGCTGTTAGGCTAATATTTAGTTTTTAAAACCCACAATTGCAATCCATTTTTTATTTTTCTTCAAGTTTATCCATCCTTGCCTTCTTTGTATTTGCCTTGTTATCTATACCTTCTTTGTTGTTTGAGTGGTTATTTTATGTTTCGAAATTTGTTGGCAGTTCCTAATAACTGCTTGAATTTTGATAAATGTAGAGACACATCAGCCTCTTTTATAACCCTGTGACAAAGTTACTCACCCAACGGCTAAGGCAATATTAGGAGCACATGTAGGAATGCTTAGAGTATAGTGATAAGTTTTCCTCTTTTCATCAGCAGTGAATACCTGTATAGAAAAATTATATTAGTGTAGGCAATCATATGACTTCCAGTTCAATTTTAAATTTATCTGCACACAAGTGTGCTTTTCAAAAAGTATCAAAATTGCATTAGCCCGAACGGTGAATGCAATTATTGCATAGTTGAACTTTTTGAAAAACAAACAAATGCAGGTAAATAAGCTTGAAATCGAACAAAATTACCCTTTATTAATACTGTATTCGTGAAATATTTTACTGGATCAAAATTGGTTTCCAAAACAGTCCAAAAGGGCAATTCAACACAAACCAACCCAGTCTCACACACAACCTCAAAGGGACCAATGAGGAATATGGCAACTGATTGGTTCTTACGTATTTTTTATCAACCAATCACAGTACTCAATTCTCTGAGATATTTGCATCTTATTTCCTTGTTTAGCATCGAAAATTTCCTCCTTTTTGCACTGTTTACTAAAAACTGCATTACTTTCAGCCAATCAGATTCAATAAATTTTTTCATGTACATTATTAACAACCAAATCAGTTATTGATTACCTCAAGGCAAACATGTGCGCTAAAATCTTAAAAGATTTAACAACTGCGTCGCTGAGTGGAGGTGGGTGCCCAGGATGTCCAGGGGCTTCCACCTATGGCACGGCCAGCCCCTAGACAGAGTTATGCCCTCATGGCTGGCAAACCCGCGCCCTCCAGCCATGAGCCCCAACGCCAAAGGAACCAGGCACCCGTCACACTGATTTAACAGTTGAAGAATTAAGGGGGGGAGGGATGGGGGTAAAAGAATGATCCAAAGGCTAAAGGAAGAGAATGGATGCCACGAAAACGCTGTACTGAGCACATGGAGGTGATGCAAGCAAGGCTGACCGCGCTTGAGCCAAACGACTGACTGCTGACCACACTCGCGCTCCTTTGTTCTGTGATTTGACAGGGAGGTCTCTACAACATCTATATGGGTATAAACCCACAAAATGAATTGGCAGTTACTATTAAAGGTATTATGTTCTTACAGTATCCATGGGAACTAGACGTCAAGACACTGAATTCATTGTGTACAGTCAAGCCAGGTCAAGCGTACCCCTCAAGATTCCATTAATGAATTTATTATTCAAAAGTTGAATCTGTTGGTAGATGTAAATTTCAGATTCAACAACTAACGGATTCATTTTTCAAATAATCAATTCATTAATAGAATTTTGGGGGGTATGC